GGGGGCTGTAACCCCTTTTTTGTATATTATTGAAGTAGAAGATAAATTTTTAAATTTTCTTCTTTTTGAAACCCTGCTTTGGTGGGGATGGCCAGTATGTTGAAAAATATGTAATGCGAGGCCATTGCCTGGCAGGAAGAATGATCGCCACCATGGCCAGAATGCGGGTTACTGAACGAATGACTCCTTAATGCTTCATCTGTTCATGGGAAGGTTTGGAAATAGTTTTCTGCATCTGTAAGTTAAGCTCAGAGTCCTATAACAAAGTATGGCATCTTGAGCTTCATAGCTCTGATCTCTCTTATGCTTGCATTTTCCCGTTTGAATATGGCAGTTTTTGTGCCATGCAGCGCCTCTCGTGTTACATGAAGTGCAATAAAACTGTATATATACACAACCCGCACATAAACTGCAACTTATGACGACATTTCAGTGCCACTTAACCATTAACTAGTCGCACTAGTGCCCTGTGTTACTCGTTAATGGTCCAGATTCAACCGAAATGTCGTCACGAGTTTGGTTCTCCTATGTGCAGGTTATTTGTGTATTGTGTAGTGTAGGGCTAACTATTGTGTTTGTCATCATTATCTGCAGGAAGCAAGAAACAGTGGTACTTGTCTTAGACATACTCGATATTATTATTATTACAGTCGTAACTCAGCACTAAAGTTCCAAGGGTCATACAGCGCTGCAAGGCAGGATGTGCCGAAGATTATATACAGACACTCCTCGACCTACGATGGTTTGACTTAAACAATATTTCAACTTTACGATGGTGCGGCAGAAATTACTTTGGAGATGAAACATGAGATAATTACCCAACATGAAGGTGGTAAATCCCTAATTTGTATTCATTTACTTTTCAATACGGGTATTTAGTTACAGTAATTATTTATTTATTTATTTACTTATACTGTGACATTATTTAGCATGTATGTACAGTGGACCCCCGGTTAACGAACTTTTTTCATTCCAGTAGTATGTTCAGGTGCCAGTACTGACCGAATTTTTTCCCATAAGGAATATTGTGAAGTAGATTAGTCCATTTCAGACCCCCAAACATACACGTACAAATGCACTTACATAAATACACTTACATAATTGGTCGCATTTGGAGGTGATCGTTAAGCGGGGGTCCACTGTATTCATATACAACGTATAAGAGGTATTTTTGACTTAGGATGGTTTGTCAGAATGTAACTCCATTGTAGGTCAAGAGTATCTGTATATGCAAAGATCTGAAACAAGGAGGGTTAGGGGTATGCAAGGGGTAGTTGGTAAGACATACTCAGTACTTTTTCTGTGTCTTTCAGGGAACTCTACACCAAACCACGAACCCTGAAACAGGTTTGCCGAGTCATAATATACGACGCCCTGGGTCGAAGAACTGCGCAGAACGTCAACAAGTTACCACTTCCGGGAATGTTAAAAGACTATATTTTAAATTTCGATCCTTAGAGCCCTTTTCTTGTGCTCGACAGTAAGGCAAATGTTTTCCCTACTATTCTAACAGTGAAAACCAGAAAAGAGTTGTCCCTTCTTGTGTGGAAGGTTGAAAAGCTAAAATCGCAGGCTGCTCGTCCCGGCCAGCAGTGTGTGTCGTTATGGTTCATTAGTGTCTTTAAACTTCATAGTTGGTTACGATAGCTAAAGCGTGTTACAAAGACTTGTTAGGCCGAGCAACACTGAAGCTGAAATACGCCGTACATACGTGCATTAGAATAATAAAGCAGGTTGGTGCATTCTAAGCATATGTGCGATGTGAAATGGCATTCTGAAAATATTGAACTTGCTTGTCAGCTATGTAAGGGCAACTATAGTTGTAAGTGGAGGAACATTTTTTAATGGCGAAGATGAGCAAATTGTCCAGATAAATAATGCAGAGCTTGATAAATATTGAGCTTTCCTTCCTAGCTAGGCTGTGTACATATGGTGTATATATGGATATATAGTATATATATAAATATATATATATATATATTTTAAATTCCTTGGCGATGGTGCTTGTGTTTTTTGTGGCATTGCCTGCTGGTAGCCAAGCACATCTGCAGTAGAGATGGTGGCTGTCTAGCGGGGCAAAGGAGCCAGTGTAAATTGAGGGAGCAAAGCTGCAACTCAAATGGGATCAGAAATGAGAGTAGAATTGTTTAGCTTCCAAATAGTGCTTGTGTGGGATGTGGAGACTTGACCCTCCATGGGGGATCTAACCCTCTGATCTCCGAGACGAGACGAGGGTATACGAACTTGGCCGTAGCGAGGCTCCCCAGTAGTGCTTCTCGTTCCTCTCCACACTGAGAGAAGACTTGGGTGGGAAAGTTAGCCAACAGCTGGCTTTTTAAGGGGCTAAAAGAAGGTATTTGATATGCTTGTGCAGCAACCAGACCTCCCTAGTGCGACACAAAATACTCGCTTGTGAATTCTGATGATTCCGTGTTTGTGTTTTTCCTTTCCCCTTGAAATTTAATTGGCAATTAGACAAATGTTAATTGAAATTCAACCCAAGAGATAAACATTACATAGAAAATCGTGCATAATAACATCCCAGACTCTGAGGTATGGTACTTCAAGACTTAATCTGCATTTAGAGAATTGTATATTTCAGAGCAAGTATATATAATAAATTTTTGTAAATAGTACAAAATTATGTTTCACCGATCTGGTATATGTGTAAATTATATTCAAATTGTTATTAAACATCTAAGTTTTTTAATGTTTTGATCATCTTCCCGTGAGGTAAGAAACACCAACTTAGATCAACTTAGTCATCATGATACCCAGCAAAGTTAGGTAAGGTTTGTTAAGTTAGGTAAGGTTTGTCAGGTTAGGTAAGGTTTATCAGGTTAGGTAAGGTTTGTCAGGTTAGGTAAGGTTTGTCAGGTTAAGTAAGGTTTGTCAGGTTACGTAAGGTTTGTCAGGTTACGTAAGGTTTGTCAGGTTACGTAAGGTTTGTCAGGTTACGTAAGGTTTGTCAGGTTAGGTTAGGTAAGGTTTGTCAGGTTAGGTAAGGTTTGTCAGGTTACGTAAGGTTTGTCAGGTTAGGTAAGGTTTGTCAGGTTAGGTAAGGTTTATCAGGTTAGGTAAGGTTTGTCAGGTTACGTAAGGTTTTTTCAGGTTACGTAAGGTTTGTCAGGTTACGTAAGGTTTGTCAGGTTAGGTTAGGTAAGGGTTTGTCAGGTTACGTAATGGTTTGTCAGGTTACGTAAGGTTTGTCAGGTTAGGTAAGGTTTGTCAGGTTAGGTAAGGTTTGTCAGGTTAGGTAAGGTTTGTCAGGTTAGGTAAGGTTTATCAGGTTAGGTAAGGTTTATCAGGTTAGGTAAGGTTTGTCAGGTTAGGTTAGGTAAGGTTTGTCAGGTTAGGTTAGGTAAGGTTTGTCAGGTTACGTAAGGTTTGTCAGGTTAGGTTAGGTAAGGTTTGTCAGGTTAGGTTAGGTAAGGTTTTGTCAGGTTAGGTAAGGTTTGTCAGGTTAGGTAAGGTTTGTCAGGTTAGGTAAGGTTTGTCAGGTTAGGTAAGGTTTGTCAGGTTAGGTAAGGTTTATCAGGTTAGGTAAGGTTTATCAGGTTAGGTAAGGTTTGTCAGGTTAGGTTAGGTAAGGTTTGTCAGGTTAGGTTAGGTAAGGTTTGTCAGGTTACGTAAGGTTTGTCAGGTTAGGTTAGGTAAGGTTTGTCAGGTTAGGTTAGGTAAGGTTTGTCAGGTTAGGTAAGGTTTGTCAGGTTAGGTAAGGTTTGTCAGGTTACATAAGGTTTGCCAAGTTAGGTAAGGTTTGTCAGGTTAAGTAAGGTTTGTCAGGTTACGTAAGGTTTGTCAGGTTACGTAAGGTTTGTCAGGTTAGGTAAGGTTTGTCAGGTTAGGTTAGGTAGGTTTGTCAGGTTACGTAAGGTTTGTCAGGTTACGTAAGGTTTGTCAGGTTAGGTAAGGTTTATCAGGTTAGGTAAGGTTTGTCAGGTTAGGTAAGGTTTATCAGGTTAGGTAAGGTTTGTCAGGTTAGGTAAGGTTTATCAGGTTAGGTAAGGTTTGTCAGGTTAGGTTAGGTAAGGTTTGTCAGGTTAGGTTAGGTAAGGTTGTCAGGTTACGTAAGGTTTGTCAGGTTAGGTTAGGTAAGGTTTGTCAGGTTACATAAGGTTTGTCAGGTTAGGTTAGGTAAGGTTTGTCAGGTTACGTAAGGTTTGTCAAGTTAGGTAAGGTTTGTCAGGTTAAGTAAAGGTTTGTCAGGTTAGGTTAGGTCAGGAAACAGGACAAGTGTTTCCTCACACAGGTCTTAGTCACATGATAACCCACAGCTTGAGCTCTGGATCATCTGACCAAGACCTTCCACTGTCTTACCACCCCTTTAAAAATTATATCCATTAGATTATTTCCTATATAGATACTCTCTGGGAAGACAGTGATGGAGTGATGATGAAAGCGTTTCTTCTTTTTTGAGTTGCCCGGCCTTAGTGGGAAATGGCTGATATATAAAAAAATAAAATATATAGTTGCCTAGCAACCTGCTTACCTCATGTTTATATTTTAAATATCTGTATTAGTCTTTAAACAAGAATAATTTACATAATTTGTACTGGTTAGATCAACATTTTTATTAATGACTTAGTGTTATTACACTTTGTTAGTTTTACATATTAGACTTTTTTCTTTTTTTTTTTTCAACAATTATAATTGTATACAGGATTTTTTTTAGGTTACATACAAAAAAAAAAGATTATTTTTGCCTTTCTGTGTTGTTTCCGAGTCATAGGCAGGAAACTCCAAGAAGGTGAAACTGGACTCGGATGTTTGGTTCACAATTCTCTGGTTGTTACAAGGTAAATATTTTATGTAATATCTTAGGTTACTGAGCAGTGGACATGGAAAGAAATTTAAGCAGCGGCGGCTCGTGCGGGGGTGCTGCAGAACTGCAGCACCCCCTGTTTTCTTTAATTATATAATGTACACCTCTTCAAGGGGGGCTCTTTGCTGTGGTGAAGAGGCTCTTGGTCTGAGGAATCAGACCTGTCGGTCTCCTTCCTCAGACCGAACCTAATTACCCCCCAATCCCCCATCCCTATCCCATCCTCCCCTTTTTCCTTTCCACCTCCTCCTCCCCACCCCTCCCTTTTGCCCTTCCTCTTTTTGGCCTTTGGGATTTCTCCCACAGGCGCACTAGTTCCTAGGTAGGGGAAAGGATACCGGGGTCCATCCCATTCCGTTGAGGTTCTTGGCGGTGGCGTAGTTTGCCGTGGAATCTGGATCGCCTGGGGATGTCCCGATCCCTCTCCGGTACCCCGGAGTAGCTTTGGGTGTCTTTGGGCGACAGGTGTATCTCTGGAAGCCACCTTTCGGATTCCGGGGGTGGTGGCCGAAGGAGGTATGCTTTGTGGCGGATATCCAGCCGCCCTCTCTTTTGTCCACCGAGGTAGCTCGGCAGATGTGAGGTTGCTATCCCGGATTGCTGGTTTACTGGCATGAAGGGTAGGGTATGGCACGGGTTCCATGCTGCATCTGCGCTGCTAGCGGTGCTGAGGTCCTCTTGGATGCGGAGGGAGATTTCCGGCCCTTTCATTCCTCCTGGGAACTATTCCTCCCCGCTCCCCCCTTTTTTTTTATTCTTTTCTTCTTTCTTTTTTTTTTCTTAAAAACAAAAAGCAAAGAAGTAACCTAACCATGGAGAAACCAATCCATGAACCCACTACCCCCGGGCCCCTTCTTGATACCGCACCCCATTCTGACCCTGCCTTGTTTTTAGACCACTCTCCGGACACTCCTGATGCCCCTGTACCTCTTGCTGGTGCTGTTTCCTCACCCGCTTCAGGTACCGGGGCTTCGACTGACTCCTTCGATTTGTCTGAACTCCGCTCTCCTTTGACTATGCTTCCGGCTTCTCCCTCTAGGGTACGGCAATTTTCGAATCGCCCGCCCATTCCACACCGGACCAACTCCGGTCCTACTCCTAAACGCCAACGTCAATCTCCTGATGATGCTCCTTCGTTACCTTCCCATTCTACTCGGAAAAGACCGACACGTCATGCACTCCCTCTCCACGCTCAGTTTCGGACCACACAATGGACTAAATTCTTTACTTTAAGACCGACTTCTTCTGCCTACCTTTCTGACCATAGTATTGGCAAAGCGCTCCTGCGTCATGTTGGTAGAGATATTTCATTTCATGCTCTCAAGAGCGGTACGCGCATCATCACTGTCCAGAATGCTACTCCGATACTACTCCTATCACTATTGAAAAACATCTTTCTCTCAATTCTTGTAGTGGTACTGTCATTCTGCCCCATACCATAGTCCAACAGAATTTCCAGTCATGTGGCAATGACATTCTTGAACAGCTGGAACTCCAGGATCTCCCAATCCTCAAAGTAAACACTTATGTCCTTCCTGCCCGGGGGCGGAGACTTTACCCTTGCAATGTGGCTCGTTTAACTTTTGACAGCCAAGAACTCCCGTCCTCTGTATATGTCGCGGGACATCGGTTACAAGTTTGAAAGGTGATACCTACACCGCAACAGTGTAGAAATTGCTGGCGTTTTGGTCACCCAGCGAAATATTGCAGATCTATGGCTGAATGCCCAGTCTGTGGTGCCGACGACCATTCTAATACATCTTGCAGTCAACCTCCATCTTGCCTTAATTGTAATGAAGCTCACCCTTCGTACTCCCGCCGTTGCCAGGTCTACTTTAATGAACGTGAAATCCGTTGCCTCAGAGGCAGAAGGTCTCCCTTATGCTATGGCAGTTACTCATCTCCGCCTCCAAGGGAGACTACCCCGTGTTTCTTATTCTCGTGTTTCAAAACATCCCCCCACTTCTGGGGTCCCATCTTCTGCAGCCTCCTCTGTTGTTACCCCTCCCAGAGCCACTCCGGCATCTAATCCTTTTGCTGTCCTTGGCTCTGACATCCCGACTACAACTCAGTCTGTTCTTACATCTTCGCGTCCTTCCTCACAAG